AAACTTTTTTTTTCTGGGTCTCAGGAGGATATTTTCTAATCGCTAGGTGTCAGTACACTCGCTGGCTGTTACCTAGAGTGCAGTGGACTTGCTATTTGCTCCAAACAACTGCGCCTTTGAAGCAAGTTTACAATAACGAAAAGAGCGTGGCAAGTCCACAGCATTAAAGCATGTAAAGATGCTTTCCAGACAAGAAGCAGTGAGATGTTGTTCTTTTTCCTAGCATTATCGTCGGTTGATTATTATTAGCCGTCTAATAGGCTGCATTCCAACTAATGCGCAAGTATATTTTGACATAGCAGACGTTTGGACGGCCGTTCTTAATCGTCGAAGAATTGAATGCGATGCATGGGAGAATCTTTTTTTTTTCTTTCAGCCAATACGATTCATTTTGATGTGGGTTCCCACGCAACACGCACGCATCTCGGGCAAGAGCCCGGATGGCGGTACCTGACAGCCGTGTGTCTGTAAAATCTATCCAATACAATGACGAGCTCCATCTTTAAAAAAACAATTACGTTACGAGCTCCATTTTTGGCCGTCCAATGAAATGTCAAGGTCCATTTTTCATAGACCAATCACCGCACATAGTCCATTTTTGTCCATCATTGAGTTTGAGCAGATTCCATCCAATCTCCGCTCATATTCTCTTTTTTGGCCGTCCAATGAAATGGCAATGTCCATTTTTCATACACCAATCACCGCACGTTGAGCATAAACGTCACTGCTGTTATTTATATTCCGCTCAGGTAACGTTATGTTATTTATAGTTATTGTATTTATTGTTAATGAACGTTTTCTGTATTTTAGGAATAGCAAGATTGCTCCGTAAAACGATCAGGTAAGTTAACGTTAACTGTAATTGTAAGTAATAGGGTATAATTGTCGCAGCTCAATTTGTAATGTAAATAGTTTTATTCGATTTTGTCTGACTTTGTGTAACTTCAGTCAGCAAGCAAACCTTATTTTTTTTGTATAGGTAACGTTAGCTAACGTTACGTTAGCTATAGCTAACGTTATCATCGAGCTTGGCAATTGTACATTTTTGTCAGTAACGAAACTTATTTTGTTTTTTGACAGGATTAACTAGTAAAATAGCATATCTGATAGTGTTTGTTACTTTATAGGAAATGGATAAATCAATGTACAATAAATCTCATTGTACTAGTCTACTGTAACACTGGCATAAAATGTAACAAAATAAATTTGGATAATGTCTCTAACTGTTGGGTGTTTGTTTAACTTTTATACACTTGTGGTAAAAAATGACCAGTCATAAGTGAATGGATGAGAATACAATAAGTATATAAAATAAAATTCAGGCACATGTTCATTTTAACACATGGGCACAGTTGAAATAACACAATGTTTAATCTGAGTATTTGTTATAGTCAAAATAATCCATAACAGTTAGGCTACATTATACGTTTTACTACAAAACAATTTGTATGAGCCCAGGTCAATGAGGCATACAGGCCATAAATAGCAAATAGAAGTTCAAAATTTGTAATGTTTACAAAAACTCTATCACAAGATCTATCACAACATTAGGTGATGATATATACAGTATGCATTATTTTGGATTTATAAACTGCTATAATGTGGCGGTCATTTTGGACCAGGAAAATGACCACGTAGTCAATTTTTGTCAATCTTTGAGCACAAACACCGCTTAAGTTATTTATATCCCGCTGTTATTTATATTCCGCTCAGGTATGTTATTTATAGTTATTTTATTTATTGTTAATGAAATGGCTTACGTTTTCTATTTTTTAGGAATAGTAAGATTGCCTCCGTAAAACATCTCTGTAATCCCTCATTTTGGGCCCTTGCCATGATGACTTAATGTAATTACACTATAACATGAATAAAACTGCGTATCTGTCATTACAGAAAATGTCCAAACAACAATCCAAAAGCCACAAGGCTATGGATGATACTGAGTGGGTCTCGCGCTTTAGGTCTTTTGCCTCCACTGGTGTCTGGCCATCAGATGCAGGTAACCGACCTGCTCCAAGGCAAAAGAAGTGGTACAGTCTGTATCAGAAGGTATGTAGAAAAAGTATCAAAAGGAATATATATATATATATATATTAATTTTGAGTAGTAGACATATTATATTTTCAGTATGTACAGTATGAGCATAAAACAAGAACTTGTACAAATAAATATAAGTGGCATCTTTTGTTTTGTTTACAGATAGAGAAGTGCCCTCTGCAGCTGAGAGGACAGCTAACGCTTTTCTCCCAGCCACAGATGTGTTTGTGTGGATTTCATCCTCATAAGGTAGGCTAATTTGGGCTCTTTCAGTTTAACTACAGTTGATGCAGTGTGCACACAATATAAAGATGTGGTATTTCTTAACATTAATGTATTCTTGGACAATTTCTGTTGTTTCTATCTGGGTTGGTTTGGCAACAGGTCTGTTCCACAGCAGAGGAAATTGCATAGTAGGTAAAAGAAGGTCATAAGGTTGAAACTAACTACATCACTAATAACTGAATAAAAAACCCACATCTAAATTTGTCACGTCATTTGCATGAAAGGGGTTCTTATACATTATTGTTTATACTATTAACATAGAATAGAACAGTAGTATTGTGCTTTCTTTAAATCACTGGTGATTTTGTCCATCATCTTTCTAAGTCTTTCATACTGTATTTCATACTGTAAAAATGCACTGTTTTATACATTTTTGTTATGCAGCAGCAAGTGCCTACAGCCTCATCTAGACCCACAAGCAGTGCAGACCAATCAACTAGTGGTCAATGTAGCTCCTTAATGGTAGGTAGATTTTATAGCTTTATGTGAGAGAGAATTCATAACGGAAATATTTTATATTCTTGTCATATTTCAGCTCCCAACCACTGCTCCAGTAGAACGTCCCACAGCTGACACTACACCCGCAAGTTTGGTGAAAAGGCCCAAGCTCACCCTTTCCTCGGTACATATGATGGCATGTGTTTTAAAATGGTTAACAGTTGTCATATTAATACTTCTCTCTTTAAAGTTTAATAAGTCCAGATTTGGTGGAAAGCATGTGGAGAGTGCAAAGCCAAATTTACATGTTGGACGGAAAGCTCATGTAAGTAATAAATAATTATTAGTTCTTTGCTACAAAAAAAAATTCCAATGATACAATTTTTTTATACCTTGTATTTTTAGACTCATTCAACCACTGCTACAAATGCAGCTGCCCGTGTGTGTGAGGCTCCAGTGCTAGCAGGTGGTCCTCCTCAAACCATCTCTCCACCACAGCCTCCAAGTGCAGAATCATTTTTTCTTGCTCCTCCATTACCGCCTCCAAAACAACGGCATCGGCCAGTGGAGGGGCAGAGTTTAGGAGTGAATGTGGTAAAACATTGCACTTGTTACTATGTTTGGTTAGTATTTTTTGTCTTTATTTGACCTGTCCTTTTCTGTCTACAGAGCGCATTCCAGCCTGAGCACTCTGCTGCAGTTCCTCTCCTGTGGCCTAAAACCATGCCCCAGGAGGATCACCAATGGGTCTCCACAGGATTGTTCAGAGTTGGTGCTCGTGGGAATTTGGAGCTCCAGGATCATCTCCAGTTGTGGTATTTCCCTCCACAGCCATCCCTTATTTACCACCAGGCACCAACATCAGCCAGATTTTTTGCCCATCCCTTACTGCTGTGGATGCCGTATAGGCTGTGGAAAGTCAGGCTGCTGTGCGCGGACCAAGCCTGTAAAAGCCCTCTGACTAGTGGAGGTCTTCACAGACGGGTGCGTCAGGTCCTTGACATTGACCGCTTTTACAACCTGGTCACAGAGACTCTGATTTGCTCCAAGTGCCGCCGCAGCTACCTGTCTTGGAATAGGGAAATACTTGAGCAGCTGGACATGGCCCATCGTTCTGAGTTTAGGGTCATTCTTACCCGCCGGTATGTTACATTATTGTGTGATTTTTGTCAGTTGCTTATCCATGTATATTTAATTTATTTCTTATTACAGATATGCCTGTGACATCAGGGTGATACGCCTCCTACGGGAACGTGGTCTGGGGAATGGCCCTGTCCGACTGATTGGCCAATTGAAAGAGAACCACAGTGAAGAGTGGCTGAAAAGGGTTGCGCGGTATACCAGCGAGTGTGCTTCTTTTACCAGCAAAAGTTGCCTGATGCCACCAACATTTGAAGAGCCTCCCCAACCTGTGGCAATTCCCAGCTATAAGTGGCTTTCAGTGGTGTACAGCCAAGACATCCTGTTCAGGCTGGAGGATATCAAGGCTAGTATCACCTCCACTTATGGATCCATCTTAAAACTGGATTCCACCAGAAAGGTACATCTTTAATTATTATTGTACTGAGGTTATGCAAATTCTATTTATATTTAAATCTAAATAGAAATGGAACCTCAAATGAATGAACAACTTAAACAATAACATAAGATGGAATGTCAAATTGAGGGACAATTCAAAGATTAAAACAAGAAGAACATTGCAGAGATAACCACAAAATTTTTTTATGACATTACACGCATAAGCTCTATATTAATGCAATAGAACCACTGAAGGTGTTGCTACTATTGGTTTAATATATATGTTTGTTTTAGATCACTAAAAAGCTCTCAGGACCGGCAAAAGGCACTGCACAGTGGCTGACATCCGTTGGTAACGAGATGGGTCAAGTGCTCATCAGTGTCTTGACTGCTGGTGAGGGACCAGGTTTGGATCTTATGGCAGCTGGCTTGGTAGACAGGTATGTTACCTGTAATACATTTTCACTTACATGTAATTTAACTTGTCCTTAGTTTAGAATTTACTATTTACAATTTGCATTTGTAATTTACTGTTGTTTGATGATGAAATTCTTTAATTATTTTTGATAATTATTTCTCGCAGGTATAAAGCTGCAGGTGTAGACCCTCCTGTTGCTCTCTATGTGGACTGTGGCTGCTGCAAGGATGTGGGTGAGACCAAGCTGAAGGCCAGATTTGCTGGATGGCCTAACTTGATTGTTCGCCTCGACATCTGGCACTATATGCGACGCCTGGCTGTGGGATGCACCACTGATGCACACCAGCTCTATCCCACTTTCATGGCTCGCATATCAGCATGTATTTTTGAGTGGGATGCTGCTGATGTCAACAAGTTGAGAGAGGCAAAAAGAGCACAGCTAAAAGAGCAAGGCCTGATGGCTCTGACGGAGAAGCACCTAGATCGGCACATAAAAAAAGAAGAGTTAGAGCTGCACTGCAGGAGGAGGACTCGTGGAGAAGACCAAACCATCCGGCTGTTGGATCAGCTCATCAGTGAGCTCATCAGTGACAAGGGTAAGGATGCCCTTGGTGTTCCTCTTCTGGACCCCATCAGAATGCAGCACATCTGGCGTGTTCAGAAGAGACATGTTAAGTGCATTCAGGACCCACCTGGTGTGGCGCTGTACACACAGACTGGCACCATCACCAAGGGAGGAGTGCAACTGCAGACACTGCGCTGTGCCAGAGGTTCTACATCTTTGGAGTCATTCCACTGTCACTTAAACCGGTTCATTCCAGGTACGTGCAACTCAATAATGTTTATGTTTAACAGAAATACTTGACCTTTTTCCTTTTTGCCGTTTTTTTGTATTTACTTTAGGAAACAGTGCAAACTCGCTCAACTTCCAGATCTACCTACTAGATGGGCTACATCGCTGGAACCACAACAGGGCAGCAGCTGCTCTGGAGGCAGAGACCTCGGGCCTGCGCACATACTCGGGCGAGCTGGTTCACAGCGTGAATAAAGATTATGAGAAGGTTTTTGGCAGGAAGCTGATTCTTTCTTTTACACCACCCGCAAAGTACACAGGTATTCATATTTAATATTGTATGTTTATGCTCATAGTTCTTTCTCTGTTTCTATGTAGTTTTTTTTTTTTTTTTTTTTCAATATTGGTTTTGCATTTTCAGGTGAACTGATTGGAGTGCAGTACCTGTTGAGGCAGAACAATGAACCTCTACAGTGTATGGCGCCAGACTCCGAGGAGGCAAATACATTGCTGGAGCAGTTGGAAGAGCCAGTAGAGACTGATGAGGGCTTTGAAGAACTTGAACATATTGAGGTCACTCTTGCCGATTTACTTTTGGACACATCTGATATGATCTCAGTGCTACCTGCTTCTTGTGCTCCTGAGCTTTCTGGTCAGTCCGCTCCTCCTGTCCAGTCCACTCACCTGCTGGGGGTCCCATCTGCACCCGCTCCTCCTGTCCAGTCCACTCACCTGCTGGGGGTCCAACATGCATCTGCTCCTCCTGTCCAGTCCACTCACCTGCTGGGGGTCCAACATGCGTCTGCTCCTCCTGTCCAGTCCACTCACCTGCTGGGGGTCCAACATGCGTCTGCTCCTCCTGTCCAGTCCACTCACCTGCTGGGGGTCCAACATGCGTCTGCTCCTCCTGTCCAGTCCACTCACCTGCTGGGGGTCCAACATGCGTCTGCTCCTCCTGTCCAGTCCACTCACCTGCTGGGGGTCCAACATGCGTCTGCTCCTCCTGTCCAGTCCACTCACCTGCTGGGGGTCCAACATGCGTCTGCTCCTCCTGTCCAGTCCACTCACCTGCTGGGGGTCCAACATGCATCTGCTCCTCCTGTCCAGTCCACTCACCTGCTGGGGGTCCAACATGCGTCTGCTCCTCCTGTCCAGTCCACTCACCTGCTGGGGGTCCAACATGCGTCTGCTCCTCCTGTCCAGTCCACTCACCTGCTGGGGGTCCAACATGCGTCTGCTCCTCCTGTCCAGTCCACTCACCTGCTGGGTGTCCAACATGCATCTGCTCCTCCTGTCCAGTCCACTCACCTGCTGGGGGTCCAACATGCGTCTGCTCCTCCTGTCCAGTCCACTCACCTGCTGGGGGTCCAACATGCGTCTGCTCCTCCTGTCCAGTCCACTCCCCTGCTGGGGGTCCAACATGCGTCTGCTCCTCCTGTCCAGTCCACTCACCTGCTGGGGGTCCAACATGCGTCTGCTCCTCCTGTCCAGTCCACTCACCTGCTGGGGGTCCAACATGCGTCTGCTCCTCCTGTCCAGTCCACTCACCTGCTGGGGGTCCAACATGCGTCTGCTCCTCCTGTCCAGTCCACTCACCTGCTGGGGGTCCAACATGCGTCTGCTCCTCCTGTCCAGTCCACTCACCTGCTGGGGGTCCAACATGCGTCTGCTCCTCCTGTCCAGTCCGCTCACCTGCTGGGGGTCCAACATGTGTCTGCTCCTCCTGTCCAGTCATCTCACCTGCTGGGGGTCCCGTCTGGGTTACCTGGACAATCTACATCTTCAGAGCAAGTTGTAAGAGAAATACCAGTATGTTTTATATTTATTGATGTTTGACCTTCTTGAAATACTTCAAATCTAATGTAATACTTCCTCCTAGGCCGTGGATGAACAGAGTTTGGCAGGAATGGATCGTGTTGATGAGCTTGCGGAATACTTGGTGGAGCTAAGAAATGAAAAAGGCCTCACTCTTACCAATCAGCAGGCCAGCACCATTGTGGGTCTTTGGCAGAACTTGGAGCAACACGATAAGGACCGGATTTCTTACGCTGCTCGACATCAGGAGAGACTGCTCACTGGTCGGTTTAGGTCTCCGAAAAAGAAGGCTGTATTTGCAGGAGTTGAAAGCACAAAAAGGTGTGTACTTGGTTCTACTGGTTCAGCTGCTCAGTGGCCAAACTGCAGCCGTCTTGTAGAAACAATATTTATCAGATTGTGCAACATTCATAATAGCCCCAAGCAAATTGGACACCAAACCCTTTCAAGATGGTCACTAATTCTAAATGATTATAAAAAGATTCGACAGCTCATTTTAATCAACGGCATTATTATGAAAGATACAACTCTGCAACTTGTTACTGTAAATCAGACCACGTTGATACAGTGGCATAACAAAAGATTCAAGGCACAAGAAGTTGCAATTCTGATGCAAGGGTTGGTACTGCCTGATGAACGCCCTGTTGCCAGTGAACCACTACTCCCAGTAAACACTAGGCCCACTCAAGTCACACCACACATGCATGAACACACTTACAACATGCCACCTGACACGGCTGGGTTGGCAAAAACCAAGCTAGTTGTCAAAGATAGAGCTGAGCTGAGAACCATACAGCCAAAACAACATACAGCTCAGCCAGGAGTTTTTTACATGCCACTAATAGTGCCACCAACCACTACAGCAAGTAGCATTCTGCTTCTGCCGCCACCCCAGACCACTGCACCCAGTAGAGTTTGCACACCACATTCTGAGAGCACAACTGGCCCTTGTCAAATGCAAGACACTCCACAAAAAGAAAAGCGTAAATACACTAGAACAGTCACATCCAACAGATGCACTAAATGTGGAGAGCCACGCACCACAGACACTGGCCATAGCCAGTTCAAAGGCAGAATTTACTGCCCAAACATGGAGACCCTAACCAAAGAGCAGTGGCTTAGAATGATGAGAAAATAGTACATCATTGTATTTTATGTTGTGAAGATTTTGTTTTTATTATAGTAAAATATTTAGTTGTTTTGCAAAACTAATACCGAAATAATTGCACTATTTTTTTTTATTTTTTTTTTTTATTCAATTTGATTGTGATTCATTGTGCTGCCCACAACATATACACAAACTGTTGTATTTGTTCTAGGTTAATGGGTTGTAAATAGTTCAGTTCTGTTTGTTTGTTTTCTTTTTACTTGTAAATAGTGATTTATTTTAAATACTATACCAAACGTGATTTGTTTGTACATATTTTGTTGAATGTTGTATATTTGTATGTATATTATAAAGTGTACATTATATGTTTTATATTTCGACGTGAAAAGAATAAAAAATATTTTTAAAATATTTTATTGATCTGTTTTATGTTTATTGTTTTGTTAATGGCTGATAGTGACAGTGATGTGATATAGCAGGCTTAGGTGGAGTGTTCGAAGTCAAATTACATAAAAGATGAGATACATGCAGAATGCCCATACTGTTTATTTATTTTTTAAATCAAGGTTACAGTAATAGGTAGTAGTTTACTATTAATCATTATTAGATACTCCTGCAATATATCAGTACACTAAATGTTCTTCCATTCTACCATTTGATAATACTGGGTCATCAATGCAGAGTGTTTATAAAGTTAGATCATTGGGAAGTCCCTAAAAATGTGGTTCAGTACCTCCTTTTGATCAAAAGAAGAAAAAATTTAAATGCAATGTGTTAATAATTAAATAAATGGTTAATTGCCTGCAAGCTGAACTGCATCCCTTATATTGCACTAAATAAATCTTGAAATGAATAAAAAAGACATTAGACCCAGCGAGAAAACTCATGTTCTTGCTGGGGATCGAACCCGGATCTCTGTGATTTTTCTCCTCCCCTCGCGCCCCTCCCCCTCCCCCTCCCCCTCCCCCTCCCCCTCCCCCTCAATTCTTCCCCATCTTATACAGACTATTGTTCCCCAGCTTTGGCGCAATGGATAGCGCATTGGACTTCTAGGTTGTGAATGGAGGTATTCAAAGGTTGTGGGTTCGAGTCCCACCAGAGTCGTGCATTCCCTCTTTTGCTCAGATGTCTTTGTGTTGGACAAGCATACGCTTAAACCCTTGGATCCACAAACTACTTCTGAAGCATCCCCTTCACGCTCTGCTTATTTCGCTTATTGCACACACCCAACTCGGATCATAGAGTACTCTACTAATTAGCTTAAGTCACCTATTTAAATAAGGGAGATAACAAGAATGGGTTGAAATCCAATGGCTCAGGCCAAAATCTGCAACTACCTATTGTTGGCCACCTACCTAGCAAAAGAAAAAAAAAACATGCTTTCCATTTCTCCTAGCTGAAACAGCGTTTAGATGTATCGTAACTGAGAGTTTCGATCCAAAATGAAATGGTTTGAGATATTCCCATGTCCCTGAACAGAAGCCTGCACACCTTTCAGGTTTTGGAAATAACCCTCTAACTTCAAAGGGACATATTCATGATGTAATCAGCTATTCTCCTGACGTGCTACCTCTTTTAGACTTTGTATACAAAAGCATAGAATCAGGGACAGCACCTGGCACTGTGGCTTAGTTGGTCAAAGCGCCTGTCTAGTAAACAGGAGATCCTGGGTTTGAATCCCAGCAGTGCCTAATCTGTGGCTTCTAAGAGTAGTCGTTCAACCTTTTCAGATGTTAAAGTCTCGGCAGGAAAGACAATCTGGAACTCTCGGTTGCAAATGAAGGCTTTATAAAGGTTGTTGGTTTTTGGGTCCCACCTGAGTCACGAATGGTGTCCCTTTGCATAGACGTCTTTGCCAGACTGACATTTGCTTAAACCTGGGGTTTTCCAACTTTTTCAGGAGCCGACACAGCACATTTTTCTTGTTTTCCTTATTGGGCACACACAAGTCAGATCATTGAGTACGTTACTAATCAGTCAATTATTTGATTCACCTGTTTTAAATGAGAGAGAGATAATAAAAACATATATGTGGTGCAGATGCGCTTCAAGAATGGTTTGCAAGCCCCTGGCTTAGGGCCGAAATCTGCTACTACCTATTGATAAAGTCAAGCCTATGGATATTTGTACAAACAAAGTCTTTACATATATGAAGAATAATACATGGATATCTTTCTGGATTTTGCCCTTTCATATCAGAAGAAAGCACAGGAAACATTTTAGGCATGAGTGTTGAGAGTGTAGAGCCAAAATGAAATGAGTTCAGACATTCCCTTGAGGCCTGAAAGGCCATCATGTTTTGGAAACAATCCTCTTACCTCTAAGGGACCTCTTTCATAACGTAATCAGCTTTTTTCCTCATGTGCTACCTCTTTTAGACTTGTTTTACTGACAAATTTCACTGACTTTTGTAACTGGCGCTGTGGCTTAGCTGGTCAAAGCGCCTGTCTCGTAAACAGGAGATCCTGGGTTCAAATCCCAGCAGTGCCTATGCCACAGGATATGGGAGTGTTTAAACTTTTCACATATGAAAGTCTTTGCATGCCGAACAGTGTGTACCTGCACAAAATTGGAAAAACGAAGAAGCGCTGCGCATGCAATACTTCCTTGAAGTGGGTCATTTTATGGCTCTGTGGTGCAATTGATGGAGCTTTGGACTTCTAGGATGCGAATGGAGAAATTCCCTGGTTGTGGTTTTGAGTCCCACCAGAAGTGTGAATGGCCTCTTTTGCTCTGATGTCTCTGTGAGTCAGACATATGTTCAAAACTGGGGTCCACAAACTACTTCAGAAGCCTACCCCTCACATTCTGCTCATCTCCCTTATTGGACACAGCCAACTCGGATCACAGAGTACTCTAATAATTAGCTCAATTCACCGTTTTGGAATAAGGAGGATAACGAAAATGTATAGCGTCTGGGAGGTTTCGAGAATGGTTTGAAAACCACTGGCTTAGGCCAAAATCTGCTACTTCCTATTGTTGAGATCTAGCCTCTGGATGTGTGTTCAAAACAGTCTTTACAAATATGAATATTTAATTCATGAAAATCTTTCGGGATTTTGTCTTTCAGATCAGCTGAAAGCATAGCAAAAATTGCTTTCCATTTCTCCAAGCTGAGACAGAGTTTAGATGGATTGTAACTGGAGGTTCCAAAAACATTTCAGACACAAGTATTGAGAGTTTCAGATATTCCCTCGGATATCTCGGGTTTTGGAAATAATCCCCTAACCTCTTTCATGATGTAATCCGCTATTTTCCTGACCTGCAACCTCTTTTTTTGTTTTTGTTTTTTTACTTTTTATTCCAACACATCGCAGAAGGTTTAGCAAGTGGCGCTGTGGCTAAGTTGGTCAAAGCGCCTGTCTTGTAAACAGGAGATTCTGGGTTCGAATCCCAGCAGTGCCTGTGCCGTGGGATGTGGGCACCGCTCACCTACCCTTTTTACATACGTAAATCTTTGGATGCTGAACAGTGTGTATCTGCACAAAAAGTGGAAATCTAAGAAGTGATGTGCATGCAATAGCGTATTAAAGCTTGGCTTTTTGTGGCTCTGTGGCACAATGGATAGCGCATTGGACTTCTAGGTTGTGAATGGAGGTATTCAAAGGTTGTGGGTTCGAGTCCCACCAGAGTCGTGCATACCCTCTTTTGCTCAGATGTCTTTGTGTTGGACAAGCATACGCTTAAACCCTTGGATCCACAAACTAGCATCCCCTTCACGCTCTGCTTATTTCGCTTATTGCACACACCCAACTCGGATCATAGAGTACTCTACTAATTAGCTTAAATCACCTATTTAAATAAGGGAGATAACAAGAATGGGTTGAAATCCAATGGCTCAGGCCAAAATCTGCAACTACCTATTGTTGGCCACCTACCTAGCAAAAGAAAAAAAAACATGCTTTCCATTTCTCCTAGCTGAAACAGCGTTTAGATGTATCGTAACTGAGAGTTTCGATCCAAAATGAAATGGTTTGAGATATTCCCATGTCCCTGAACAGAAGCCTGCACACCTTTCAGGTTTTGGAAATAACCCTCTAACTTCAAAGGGACATATTCATGATGTAATCAGCTATTCTCCTGACGTGCTACCTCTTTTAGACTTTGTATACAAAAGCATCAAATCAGGGACAGCACTTGGCGCTGTGGCTTAGTTGGTCAAAGCGCCTGTCTAGTAAACAGGA